TCCAGATCTCAGAATGAATTATGTATGCATCTCTGACCTATGCCCCAGTGGTTGTAAAGTTTAAAGATAGCAGTTTGGTTGCTAGCAGAGGCTGTCAGATCCACTGGTAGATTTGGTTTCATAGCTAAGAAAGTGTGGATGCATTTAGAGCTATTGAAGGTAGAAGATCTTAAATCACGTGTGAGAAAGGTGGAAAGACCACTTAAAGCACAGGACACAGAGTCAGGAAACATGGGTTCTATTCCCAGACCTGCAACAGAATGAATGTGAATGTAGGGTAATCTCTTCCCTGTGCTTGCATCCCATGGAGACTTTTGCAAGAATTAATTCATTAGTGCATGTAAAGTGCTCCAAGACCATAGATTAAACGCCTATAGGAATGAAGATGATATTATGCCAGCCTTCAGAAGGGTCAAATCAGTGTTGGATCTGAGATAGTAAGTAGTCTCTAAGGCAGTTTGCCAAGCCTAAAGCACATTAAATTATAACTCCATATTTTAAATACCAGACACTATGATAGTGTGAAAAAAAAAGTTTCTGTGATGTACTGCACAGTTCCTGCTTCAAGGCAACTTCACTCAGCTATACGAGTTCAATACACTACAGTGATGGGCACGCTCATAAAAACCTAGATAGACAGAGCTGTCTGGTAATTTAAACATATTGAAAACAGACCCATCTTGTAAGAATTGTCCTCTATCCTCCTCCCCCTATTCCCAGGAGGAGTCTGTTTCCTTAACAAATAACCTCTACTACAAGCCCAGACTTCCTCCTCCTGGCCTGAAGCAGCCTTCACTCCACAACTTTTTGGCTTTCCTTGAGGCCCTACATCTCTATCTTTTTATTTACTTCACATTGGGCAGAGCGTATAGCCTACATCAGTCTCTAGGCTCCTTGCACTGCAGTTATTAACTTATCAGAAAGACCCTAGCAGAGGCATTCCTATCAGCTCTTACTTTTCTTCCCAACCCAAACACTACAGAAAATGCATCACAGGCTTGAGATACTCATCCTGTTTCTGCTCTGGAGCTTTTACAAATTAAGACAGGCTGTGCATGAGTCTTGGAAGCAAGGCGGTGGTAGCCTGACCCCACTGAAATCAATAGGAGTTTTGGTACAGACTTCACTGGGGCCCAGATTACCAGCTTCAGAATCCTACTCTAACTCAGACATGGACATCTCCTCTGAGCATGGACACTTGACTTTGCCCTTCAGCCTTAAGTTCCCTTCCCCATGTAAAGATGAACACAATGTTGCTTACCTCTCTCCATAGGGTGTTGGTAAAGTTTGTCAAGCACATTCAAAGAACTCTGGAGTTAGAAAGCACCATGATACTTTGCTTTCTAAAGTATTACATAGGCAGATTCCACAACACCCACAGACACACACTATCCTCAACACCTCTTTTCAAGCATCTCTTGCTTTTGTAGTGACTATTTAAATAAAGGGGGGGAGGAGTTATGGCATGGGCCAAGGTAAGTTTCCCAGAATGCCTGGCTTTTAAAGCCACATCTATACTTTTTCCAATATAGTTATACAGAAAACCCTCCTGCCAACCCAAATTCCAGTGTCACTAACTCATTATAATCACCTGTGGCAGCTGCTGGCATTGCTCATGTCAGGGAAAAAGTAAAGCAGGGGCCAGGAGGCTAACATATAGCTCTAAGGGAACCAACCCTACCGTGAATTGTTATTCATTTGCATACTCTAGCACACCTGTGAAGTTCTGCCTCATTAAAAAGCCCACAGGAAGCTAGGCTAGTTCCTTAGAAAACTGCAGCACTGCATTGGCATTAGTGTGTTATGGATAACAACCCACATATTTTCCTTTTGAAGGACCATATAAGGAAAAGGGTCCAGGAAAAGAAGGAAAGTTTAAAAGGTACGTTGGCCCATAGAGAGGGAGGGGAAATAAAGTAAGCACAGTTCTTCCTATTTACCCAACTCAGCTTGGATACTACGCTATAAGATCCTCCTATTAACTCCCTGGGGGTTGTCCCTGAGATACCAAACTTTTCAAATGTTGTCACATAATCAGTTATGTAGAAAGACTGTAAATAATACAGCTTTGCATCAGCTCTCAGTTTAAATAGAGAGAGAGAGAGAGAGAGAGACCAGCCTGTGATTAACATATTAATTGTATCCTTGTGTGACCAATGTGTATTATAATTTGGCCAGTAGGTGGCGCTGTAGTATAAATTACTGATAAATGGTTTTAGTCCATTTTTAAGAAATTTGCATTACATGTGTTTCTACTGTGACTATTTTTTTAGTAACTCTCTTGTAACTTTAGGTATATGGTAAAATGTCATCACATGTTAAAACTGTTCTGTAATAGTTCACAGTATCCTATTGCTTATTTGGATCTGGAAATTGAGTCAGATTTTGAACACTGATGAAATGTGGTGGAATGACTTGTCATTGTCTAGTTGAGAAACAATACAGTATGATTTCTCTTTTCTTGTATTTCTAGTGCCTTCCTTCTGTTCTTCTAAAGCCACTGTTGCATATAAATTCTCCAGCCCAAACATGAGTTTTGATTTTCTAGCTTCAAACACACTTTGTTGTCATTGCACCATTGTTCAGCTCTGACCCTATTTCCCACAGCTATTATGACCATGAGGTGAATCTCTATATCTAATAATACTGACAATTTTGCAAATTACTTACTGGTTATAACTAAGTGAAATAGATGGTACCTGTGCTGAAGAGGCAGTATGAGGACTCAGGGTTGTACTAGTTGGTAGGCTATTTCTCAAACAATTAAGTAGCTGGTAAGCTACTACAAAGTCTTCCTGGCTTTTTAAACTTTGCGTGCATAATCAAAGGAGGTTCCCTCAACTGGTGCCTAGGCAGGTCAAGCTACAGAGCCACCACATTCCAGCTTTTTGCTGAAAGTGCTTTTATGGCAGTACTTGGTGTCCTGCTACAGCAACCACATGCGGATATAACTCAACAAACTCTTGCAATAATACTTCAGAATAAGTTTCTTCAAACCTTCATTCTAGAGGTGACTGGAGGTAGAGGAGCCCAAATTTTATCTGGCACTAGATGATGCTAAAATGTGACTTTATTAAGCATTCCTTAGGAGGAGGAAACTCCCTCCATAACCACATGGAGGTTTTTTTCCTAAGGGCTAGGTAACACCCCATTAGTTTTATATGTGGTGCACATGGTGTAGGAAGTATGTTTTTAAAACCACAATCTGACTCGCCTAAAGAAAAAGGCATGTCTGTAACAGTCTTGTTCAGCTATGTAGTATTGAACTAAAATATTATGCTAATACAGGCTTTGCTACAATGCTGCACAAATAGCACTAGCTAGAAGTCTTAAGTGGCTCATATTTACAGGGAGATACACTTCACTAAGTATTGTCTGTACACAGAGTTAACAGGGCCAGCCTTTTTGTGCCCCCCCCCCCACACCCTTATTCAATTAACAGTATAAAACTGGAAGTTCCTGTTTAGTTATGGGAACTCCTGAAGGGGACACCATAATCAAGTCAAAAACTCACTGGGACAAAGTTTTTCCCACCAATGATGATTGATGCCTATGTCATTAGTAGGACAGCTGCCCATCTCTTATCTTGATTGACAGGCTAATAAGGGACCTGGGGCTATCTTTTCATTGCTAACACACAACCTAACCAATTGCTTTTAAATTATTGCTAATCTCTCAGAAAATAAGCAGAATGCATAAAAATATCTTTCTGGAGCAAAGAAGTGTCTACTGCAGCTTTTACTTCTCATGGTCTACAGAATCCTAATTCTGAAAACATACCAGAATTTAGTCATGAATTTCCAGGCAAGAAAGGATTTTTTTTAAAAGAAAAACTTTTAGTTTATAATAGTTGTTCTTTGCTTCAATTAGGAGTAAAAGAGAAGGGAGTTTTGTAATGCAATTGTCCTGCAAAGGAAAATGCTTTAAATTGGGTAGATTATGTGAGCAGACCACCTGTAGGGCATTCATGCCTTTTTTCTATACTGCTCCAACCCATGCCTTGCTGCCTGCAGACTGGCTAACAATAGAGGGAAAAAGCTGTTTAAAAGGCTGTTCTCCCTTTTCCCTCTGCTGTTCACTAACTGTTACAAGTCTTCCTCTTTTTATTTTAAAAAAAGTCCCACATCTCTTTAATTGAAGAACTTTAAGGCTCCATGGTGGCCAATTCTGCAACAAGAGGAACCCAGCAGCAGGGAAAGAAACTTCAGACTATACATCATGTTTGGAGAAGAGAAAAGATCAAAGTTTTTCCAAACTCAAAAGAGACCAAGTTCCCTACAGATTAACCCTATTCATTTAGCTCCTCTTAAAGGAATGATGTTCTGAGCCGCTGAGCAGACAGGTAAAAAGTTCAACAATTGCCAAAGCATTCTTCTGTTAATTCAACAGCCTTCTGCTCAAATAAATTAGCTTAGTCTTGACAGAAGAACAATACCTTTTCTTTTGAAAAAGGACCATATTTGATATACAAAAGTTAAGTATGAAAGGTTAAGATGTTAGCCTTAGTTTAATCTGTTAAGGAAAGACTGATCTAACAATTCTCAACTTACTGTTCTACTGTAAAACATGATCTATGGATTTGAAACATTAACCTTTACACTTTAGCCGTATGCAGCCCCTCTAAAGGCAGGTGCTTACAAAAAACAGACAATAGCTATGAAAGGTAGTGTGAGTGTTCACATTCCTAAAATAACATCCATTTTACAGGATACATAACAAGGCATGTGGGAGATTACTGCCTTGTACAACTTTAGTTTACATACAGTGTGATGGCTTACAAAGCATAGAGCAGCAAAGAATTATTGTAAGGCACCTCAGGTTTTAGAACATTCAACAAGTCAGTCTAGAATTTTGTTTTTCTTAATCTCACATTTTAACTTAAAGATGAGTAACTGCATTAAGGATTGCATTGTTAATATAGCTTATAGTGACATCTTTCAGTGACAGTTTACTAACAACATCTGGAATAATCAGGGTAGGAGGAGGGGGAAGCTTGGAAAAATCATTTATCAAAAGTCATTTTATTGACAAAATAGAATACTCAAATATTTGCTCTTACAGGGGGAGCCTCTAAACTTTTTACAAAAAATGTACAGACTGTATAGCTTTGGATATATACATATCTTACATATTTGTACAAAGTAACAAATAATTATATAAATACATTGTTTACTGCAAAACCCGTATTTATTTTGGGTGTATAATTAAGACATGTGTGTGTTTAAGGCATTTGCCTGGTCGTTAAGAATACCCAAAACCTGCAGTCCCATCAGGCCATCAACCTCCTCCGTTGAAGGGAGCTCTACTGCAAGTCCAGAGAGAGAATCAGAAACTACTTCTTGTCCTGCTCGCTGCAGAAACTGCTGAGCCTCCTCCATCCTTTTCTGCCAGCACACTAATAAGCTGACGCCTTGAAGTACATGCTCCCTGCATATGAATGGAGACGGGGAAGGAGGGGGGCTGGTGCTTGGGGCCTCTGCCGGCTGAATTGTTCTGCACAAGCCGTAGCTAATGGGGACCATTAGGGGTTCATTAATGGCACCAAACAGTGAGGAAGCATTTCATACAGGCCAGCGCCCCCCCTACCACTGGCCTCTCCAGCTCTCACACTTGAGACAAGGGCATCTGCTTGGGGTAGGACACAGAGCTGGCGGTGCCCGATCTCCACGTTAAACCAGTGCTGACATCGCTGTACATGGAACCGCCGCCGCCTCCTCCCCCTGCCAGTCCCGCCGCCGCCGCGGCAGCTACCTGCCCCCCGCCCCCTGCTCCCGTGGGCCCGGCGGCTGCGGCTCCCTTGCTCGCCCAGCAGCAACGGGTGCAGAGGGCCCTCCAGGACTCCAGGGTCTTCCCGGACCAGACCCAGACGCCGGAGGTGATGCCCACCACGAGGCACATGAAGTACTTGAGCATGAAGACGGCGTAGTCGGGGCGGCGGGCCTGGTCGGGCTGCTGGTCGCGGAGGCAGGGGCAGTTGTGCGTGGCCTCCCAGCGGGGCCGGTTGTGCTGCTCGTAGAAGAGGCAGGCCACCACGCTGGCGGCCGGCACCGTGTAGAGCACGGTGAAGAGCCCCAGGCGGATCATCAGCTTCTCCAGCTTGTGCGTCTTGGTGGGGCCGCCCTGCTGCTTGATCACGCTGCGGATGCGGAAGAGCGAGACGAAGCCGGCCAGCAGGAACATGGAGCCGATGGCCAGGTAGATGAGCAGCGGCGCCAGCACGAAGCCCCGTAGGTTCTCCAGGCTCTGGTTACCCACGTAGCAGATGCCGGCCACGGGGTCGCCGTCCACGGAGCTGAGGGCCAGGACGGCGATGGACTTGACGCTGGGCAGCAGCCAGGCGGCCAGATGGAAGTACTGCGCGTAGCCGGCGATGGCTTCGTTGCCCCACTTCATGCCGGCGGCCAGGAACCAGGTGAGCGAGAGGATGACCCACCAGATGGAGCTGGCCATGCCGAAGAAGTACACCAGCAGGAAGACCACGGTGCACAGCGCCGGGCCCGTGCTCTCGTAGCGCACGTGCTCGGCCACCGCCAGCTCCGGCTGCAGCTCCGCCGCGCCCCCTGCCGCGCCCCGCCCGCCCGCGGCCCCCGCCGCGGCGCTCCCGCCGGCCCCAGCGGCTCCAGCCCCAGCTCCGCCGGCTCCTGCCCCGCCGCTGCACGCCACCTTCTCGTGCCCGGCCACCAGGCGCACCAGGTAGCCAAGCGAGACGAAGAGGTAGCAGGCGGCCAGGAAGATGATGGGCCGCTCCGGGTACTTGAACCGCTCCATGTCGATGAGGAAGGTGGAGACGGTGGCGAAGGTGGAGAGGAAGCAGAGCACGGACCACAGGCCGATCCAGAAGGCGGTGAAGGCGCGCTCGTCCGGGCTGAAGTAGGGGTTGTGGCAGGGCAGCGCGCAGTTGGCGATCTGCCCCGTCTTCACCCGGTTGTAGAGCGGGTGGCGCTCGCTGGACACCGACACCATGGGCGCCCGGCACTGGCAGCCTGGCTCGCAAGGAGGAGGTGGCCGGGGCTTGCGGGGGAGCTCGGCCGGGGGCGCAGCGGCCGCGGGGGGCCTTGCAGCGCCACCCGCCTTCCCGCCGCGGTGCGGGGGCTTGGCCGGGGGCGGCGCGGCAGTGGTGAGGTCGGTGCGGTTGTAGTCCATGCACAGCGTGTCCGGGTTGCCCTGCTCCGGCAGGCGGTCGCAGCGCATCCTGTCGGGCCAGGCGAAGCCGTACTGGCGCATGAGCGGGGCGCAGCCGGCCTTGGCCCGCTCGCAGACGCTGCGGCAGGGCGGCAGCGGCTTCTTATAGTCCTCCAGGCAGATGGGAGTGTACATGCTGCAGAGGAAGAAGCGCAGGTCGGCCGAGCACTGGATCTCCACCAGCGGCCAGAACTGGTGCACCTCCAGCCCCGCCTCGTCCTGCGTGTCGTGGTTGAACTGGTTGGGCATGTAGGTGTAGTTGTAGCCGATGCCTTTGCACAGGGGCACGGTGATCTCCTGGCACGACAGCTCCTTGGCCGAGGAGGCGGCGGCGGCAGCAGCGGAGGAGGCGGCGGCGGCGCTCGAGCGCTGCAGCAGGGAGAAGGCAGCGAGTAGCGAGGTGATTTCCAGCAGGTAACTCCGCTCCATGCTCGGCGAGAGGCGGCGGCCGCCCGGCAGCTCCGAGTCCTCTCTGCCCCCTAGTAGCGGAAGGCGCCGGGGGCACCGCAAACGCCCTGAGGAATGGCCTCTCCCGGGGCGCCCAGCCGCCGGGGTGTATTGTCCTGCAGGCAGCCCCGCGTCCCGCCTCTGCCCACAGGGCGAACCCCCCGGCTTGCTGCTGCAGGTGCCCGGCAACGCACCGCCACCCTCCGCAGGGCTCTCCGGGCCGGGCAGGACACAGCCCCGGGGACGCCTCTTCTCGCCTGTCTGGGGCAGGGGGGGAAGCCCCGCAAACAGCCCCCTTCAGCGCTCCGGGTCCAGGAACAGGCGCGTAGAGCCCGCGGGGGTGTGCGCGCTCAATCCGCTCGGGGGAGGCTTCTCAGCCGCTCTCTCCTCTCCTGTCGGCTCGGGGGCTGCACCCGCGCTCCCCGCTGCTCCAGCGGCCGCTGCGCTCCCGGCCGGGCGCCGCAACTTTCGCCTTCAGTCCCTGCGGTGCCCAGCCAAGATGGCTGAGGGCTCCCGGAGCCACGGACTTAGCCTCCGCGGCCCCCAGCAGCCGGCCCGAACCACGGGGGGGTCCCCGGTGCCCCTGCAGCCGCGCGAGCTTCCCCGAGCCCGCAGCAGCACGGTCCGGCCGCAGGCGCTGTAATCCCCCCGCGCCGCTGCGGAGCCACCTGGGTCTCGGCAGCCACAGCGCCCTTTGCACAACTTCTCGCTCTCCGGCCCCGGCAGCGCCAGGCCGGTCACTGCGCTCTCATGAATATTTATACCGAGCGTTGCCAGGCCCCGCCCCTCGCGCCCCAGCCACCTATCACGCGGCCTCCGGGCGGGGAGGAGGGAAGCCGGCCCTCAACCTCCCTTAAGGTGGAACAGACCCAGCGCTCTGCTCTCAGCACCTTGTTTGCAAAATCCGATGTGCTCGTTATCCCTCATAAAAAGAACAGGAGGATTTGTGGCACCTTAGAGACTAACAAATTTATTAGAGCCACAAGTCCTCCTGTCCTTTTTGCGGATACAGACTAACAGGGCTGCTACTCTGTTATCCGTCATGATTTTCCAGGGGCGATGTCTGTTCCTTTAAGGTGCAGTTTATTAGCTGTAAATGTTTCCTGGCAGGCAAGTAGTGATGAGAATTGCTTAAGCAAGGACGAGGAGACTCCCTTCTAGTTTGGGGGCATTTCTTTCTCTTTTCGTGGTATGGTTTCAGAGATCTCTGGCTACTGCTTTGCGTAGGAGTAAGAATAAGTTTTCACCTGTGTTTTAAAATCCTCTAGGTATTAAAGCGCCAGTGTTCCTGAGAACTCATTCCCAATGAGCGTCGATCTTCAGTGGTTTCTGCAAACAGTTTAAAACATTGCAAGTACTAGTTCCTCTGCTTGTATTGGAATATACTACAAAATATTAGGGCCAAATCCCAGCCAGATCGGAGCTTGGACCTGCAGACAATCCTGGGAATTGCGTTCACTGGCTGAAGTGGGAATACTGGTGGCAGAAAACACTGCTCAGGGTAGATTTAGCCTCCTGGTCTTACATATTTTGTTTGGGTTTTTAAATCAGCGCTTCTCTAAAACCATAACTGTGCCTTTAGGGCTTCCGTATACAATGCATCTGTCAAAAAAAGTGTAAGCTGTTAATGATGTCTGCTACTACCAAGGATATGTAGCAGATAAAGCATAAGTTAACAAAATTTTAGTCCCTGAGATATAAAAAAAGTCATTAAAAAGCACTCACCAAACAGAGCAATTCATTAAGCTGATATTTATATGGAATTTGAGTGATCCCAGTGAAACTGACAGCTGGTTAAATTTTGTGTGTCATTTTAGAGCGGCTGTACTTCCTCACCAGGAGCTGCTTAAAATAGATACTGTTTACACTTGGTGGCAGGATCATATCGCCCTGCAATGAAAGTTTCAGTCGGAGCTTGGATTCTACGCAGTGGAACATAGATAAGTTTAAGTTTACGTAAGTCTCTTGCCTGGAGAGAACAAGTTTACAGTGTTGCTGAGAATTGTTTTGCAACGGCACAGATAAGGATTAAGGGGAGCTGATGGAGCACAACTCCGTATGCTGCACGTGGCTTTGAAAGTCTAAGGAATAACTAAATCAATTCTGAATGAATATAATGTAGACCTTGGGGGACCCGTCCTAGAAACCCTGACAGTCTTTCAGTCATTACTGGTACCTGGAGATCAAAGAGCATCGGTAGTTTATATAAATACCCATGTTTGTGCCCCCAAATTATCATCTCTTTAGGGGCCAGATCTTGGCATCAGCTGTAAAGTAGAAGTCTCTGCTGAGTTCAGTTATGGGGGGATAGTGACATTAAGAAGAATTTCTGCTTAATAAGTGATGGCACACAGTCATCCTTAATGTTTAAAGTTTGACTTTATAAACCCTATTCATCTGACTGCTTGACATGGTGGTTGGCTGTTTCTTGTAAAGTCTCCTTCTGCTGGATTAATGATAACGCTGGTCTTAATCAGACCAGCTGGTTTTGGGGGGAAGGAATTGAAAGAAACTTTTCAGAACGTTGTTGATAATATAGAGCTATCTTCTTCCCCGGTTTTTACTCAGAGCAGTTGACATCAGGGGGAGATGTAGTCTGCCATCAATTTGTCACTGGACTGCTACCCACCTTCTAAATAATTGTTCCAAGTCTCATTTCAGGAAGGATCTGCCCACGATACAAAGCGTAGTTACTTGGATGAGCCTAAAATTATGCCTAGTTGAGTAAGAATCCCGAAAGTGAGGGAGATTTAATGGTTCAGTGAAACACCCCAAATATCCTTTCTAAAGGGGGGGGAAAGATTAAATAAAAGACTAAAAATTAATAATAATAATAAAAAAAACCACAGCATCGCCCTCAGAAAGGCAGATATGTAAAATAAACATGGTTTTAATAGTCGATTGGACAAATCTCTCCAACAGGTACTCAGTAGGGAACAATATCTAGGCAGGAGGTGACAGTATTTTTATTAGTTAGTTCTATCTCCTGATCCTTGTTTGATTCTAATAGTTTCATGGGTTCCGAACTAATCGCTCGCTTTCAAGTTGCACTTCTAGGATGTAGGTAAAACGAGATTGCTGTGGGGATTTTGGTTTATCTGTCACTTGTTAGTGCTTCAATTAACCCTTCCCCCTCACTTTCCAAACCACCTTAAATAAGAGAGGATAGGGAGGAGGCGGGGAGGCCGGCAGCCTGGCAGGTTCATTTACGCTTGTTAGGACATCCCAGGGGGTTGTCTTACTCCTAGAATGGAGTGTTTATTTTTTAATTGATGTGCTGTTTCATTTAGCGCTTGTATGGAGCTCACGCTGGGGCTGTAATTACTGTAATCGCAGGAACAAGCGTTTCAGTGAACCAGGAGGGTGGCAATACGGTGGGATTTATTTTTGGCGGTGGCAAATTTTGTGATTTGTCAGGTTTCGAACCAAAAAAAAAAAAAATCTAGTGTTAGGAAATTAAGTTGGTGAGGGGAGGAATGTAAATCTTCCTCAGAAGCTGGCGGTCAAGCTATTAAATGAGTATTTGTAGGAAATTAAACGCGTGGCACAAAACCAGAGCGAGAAGTTGTTATGCTGCTTCTGCTAACAGGCTCCTCTCCCTTCCTTTTTGATTTAAATGAATACATAGATTATCTAGTTAGAAGGAAATGGGTAGTAATGAGGCAATAAACAAGTTTCCTATGTAATCATTTCGGTAACTTGCCAAACAAACTCAAATTCTCCTTCCCTCGCCCTCCTCCCCCAAGGGAAACCCGATAATTACAAGCAAAACATCGCAGATCCGTATTTAAATACCACGCGTTACCATTTTGTGTTATAAGGATTTCAGGTCACAAAATTAATCTTACAGGAGTTTCCCTGTTACTTTTTGTCAAACTCAAAACTACTGCTAAAGGGTCTGAAATCTCCCCTTTCAGAAATATTGATAGTTTACTGGGCCCATACGATTTTGCTTAATGTTAAAAATACAAGGAAAGGAACTCTGAAAACTTGCCACCTTTTTGATAACTTCGTCCCTTAATCATTTGAAAAACCTCTTCCAGGTCACTCACTAGAACTGGATCTGATGATCATATTAGGAGGTGTTGCTTTGTTGCCTACTTCAAAAAGTATCTCAATTAAAACTTTTTCTACGGGGTGTAAAAATGAGGAAACCCAGTCCTAGGATCTGGTATGAATCTGTAAATTACTTTGACAGGAACACTACTGGTTGTTATAAAGTACCTTTTACACCCTGCTTAGACATTGCACTGCAGAGACAACAGATGTGAAGTGACTGTTTCCAAAAACAACAGATGCTGTAAAGTTTCCATTGCTGTATTTCAACCTGGAAACTCAGTAGAGGTGTTGAATGCTACAGTTTAGAATTACTCTACTAGAAATAGAGGAAAATCGCTGAGTTTCTCAGTAGTAGGTGTGGCTTAAGTTTTATTGTTACTCACTGTTACGTTTCCTGCTTTTTTTATATTTTGTGAAAAGAGATGTAACCCCACTACAAAAATCAGAAACCATTCAATAACAGAATTCTGTATTTAAGAAGTTTTCTAAGCAAAACAAGCATAAACTTGAAAATCATAGAATAAGCTTGTAGCATGTTATAAATTCAGAACTTAATCATTCCTTTGGCTTATTAATGAAAGATGTGTCTAAAGCCCCTAAAGTCTGTCTAAAGCCCCTGAAGTCTGTTTTGACAATCCCAGTTACTATCTCATTGTAAAAATTAAGAAGAAATAGAGTAAGTGAGGATACTGGTGGAATCAGCTGAAGAAAGCTTTGGATTGATTCAAAGCAATAGAGCCTATTTCCATCTGCATTTCTTGTGTACCTAATCCTTCCCCTAAAGACAATGGACATTTTGAGGTGTACAAGGAATGCAGGATCAGGTCTTAACTGGGTGTGTGTTTTCCTCATGAAAAAAGCAGCTGCTTTCTGAAAAATTAGGCTTCACTATAGTAAGGTAAATAACTTAGAGCAATTTCAGAACAGATGTCCAGTCATCGAATCATGCACAAGTATAAAGCCAGCAGATGAAGGCAAGGAACAGTTACAGATAGTATAATCTTTTGCAAGAGTATTGATTAGCAAGTAGATAGAACTCTTCCCCATGTCCCAACTGTCACAGGTATTCTGTTACTTTAGGAAAGCAAATTCTTGATAGTTTGATGTGCCCAAGGATTTGAATAATTCTCAAGGGATAGTCTAATATTACCTCTAAAATGTCCACAAAGCAACTTTTATTAGACGTAACCTTGTGCCCTGAATGTTACCGGATAGCAACCAAATAACCAATGATGCAGGGAG